CAGAGCCCTCCTCCCATGGGTGAATAGCTCCCATGTCTTAATTGTGACAGACAACACCAATGCAATGGCGTACGTCAGCAGGTTGGGACAAAGTTGTCATCCGTGCAAAAGGGAGTGCACCTTTTGATCCCCTCAGCAGAGTGAAATTTCTAGTGCATCTGACCTCTGCATATTCAGGGAAAGATAACCATTGTGATGAACTGGCTAAGCAGGGAACAGTTAGATCAAGTGGAGTGGAGTCTTCAACCAGAAGTGTTTCAACTCCTACTGAGGAAATTTAGGGTCTCACATGTAGGCCTATTTGCATCACATACAAACTGCATTATCCCCTCCCTTCTTTTCCACCCAAAAGAGGGATCCAAGGACAGTAGGCACGGATGCTGTCTCCCATAGGTGGCCAGTGGGCTTCCTATATGCATTTTCCCCTTGGTATTCAGATCTATCCAGAAGATCAGGAGGGAGAAAGCACTGGTAGTATTAGTAGCTTTGTATTGGCCAAGAAGGCTATGGTTCTCCAGTCCTCTTAACGTGGCTCAGACCAACCTCTTTTTCTTTCTTTATGACATGGTCTGCGCTTGGCTCAGGATTTGTCACCCACAGCACCTGAGACTAATTGGCAACTGCCTGGTTTTGAGCTCTCAATTGAAAGAGAGAGGATACTTGGAAGGTGTCATCTCCACTCTGCTAGCATCTAGGAAAATTACATTTCAGGCTGAACACACAAGAGGCCTGAGTTTAACTTAACTAAATTGATTTTTCAAACATTTTAAGCCAGTGAAAACTCTTTGTGGACACACACATCAGTTTAAAACAGGAAATATTGGTTTAGCTTGTGCCAGTTAATGTATCAAAACAAGCTCAACCAGTATAAGCCAAGTTTAAACCAACATGACTATGCTGTATTTTGCAGTGGTTTAACTAAATCAGTTTAAATTTTTACCTTCAGTTAAACTAGTGCAACTTTGTATGTAGACTAGACCTAATACAGCAGAACCTCAGAGTTAAGAACTGAACCAGTCAACCACACACCTCATTTGAAACCAGAAGTATGTAATCAGGCAGCGGCAGAGAGAGACAAAAAAAAAGGCACATGCAGTACAGTACTATTAAATGTAAACTACTAAAAAAAAATTGCTGTGCTATCTAGTATACTTTCTTCACAGGCAAAGGATTTCTTCATGCTTGGATATTATGCACTTCTTTAGAGCTGCATCCTTATTTGTTGTCTGAGGATTCATTAAGAACCATATTGAGGTTCCATGATGAAGCGCAACAGCCTGATTCAGCATTCATTAGAGCATTCACTACCTCCAGAAAGTATCCGTGTATTTCATCCCCATCAAGGATGGCCTTCCTGGTAGTCATCACCTCTACCCAGATGTGGGGTGCTTGGGGGCCTTACCCTTCAAAGAATAGTACTGCACATTCCAAAATAAGGTAGTTCTTCAAACAGACCTGACCTTTATCTCCAAAATTAACACAGTGTTTCACAGAGTCCGAGAGATCATGCTCCCTTCCTTTTGCCCAAAACTGTCTTTCAAAAGAGAATTTGTGGCATAAATTGAACGTCCATAGAGCCCTTAAGGGCCATCTTAAAAAAAAAAAAAAAAAGGGGACATTTTAATCCACTATTACAAAGTGGATGAAATGATGCATTCATGAAGCTATAAGTTAAAAATGTCTCTCTCAGAAACCAGTATTGACACCTTTGTGCTG